GAAATGATTCTTTATGTGTGGCACCATTGTGCATGGAAGATTACAAAGTTGCCTCGCCTAACCCTTTGCTTTTCTCTTCTGTTCCTAAAAATAGAACGTTGGGAAGGTTATCACCAAAGGATGCCGCTACATCGTGGTCGGCCTGCAGGGATTCGCTGCTGCCTACTCCGCCCCGTTCGGAGTGGCCACCAGTGTGGTGTCGTTTGTCCGCTAGTGGGAGCTGCCTGGGCAGACTGGAAGCCTCTGTTCTGGGAACAGTGCGAATCCGGGAGCATCTCAGACTTGAACTCACAAAATACTCGGAAGAAAGAAAACGTCTTGGTTGAATTGGATGAGTGTTTCCGATGAGTCATCCCCCTCCAACTGCTGAGCTCTCCACACGTCTGGGACACGGGTGGCCCTGGTGGACAATCCCGCAGAGAATTAGGCTGAGATCAGGCTTGGGATTAGGGTCAGTTCGCTAAAACCGGAGCTGCCCGTGAAGGGGACAGGGGCTGGTGTGGAGACAAACACTTGACAGAAGTCCGCGCTCTGGGTGGGTAGCAGAGTGGTGATTAGGGACACGGATGGGGGATTTGCATCTGGAGTGAGCTGATTTGCTCAATTCTAGAAAGCGCACAGGCTGACAGGACTCCCAGCCCTTAGCTGCTTCGGTTCTGAGGACACCCAAGGAACTGTTTGTTCCTGAAGTCATCCCCCCATCTCCTTCCTGTACCCCTTTGCCACAAGGAGTTTTAATTACAGGCTTGAGAAGAAGGAAGGAAGAAAAACCTCTTTGAAGGCTACGATGCTTTGAAAACTGTGTTGACGATGTGTCATGACTGTTTCAAGTAGATGAAGGCTTGTCACTTTCACCTTCTCTGACATGAATGTGGAGGTGGTGATGAGGGTGGTAGGATCTGCAAGTTCAGGTGCAGGTTGTTTGAGGGAGAGAGGACTCCTGAGGGCTGCCGGGCCCAGTCCAGCCCAGTCCAGCCCAGTCCAGCCCAGTCCAGCCCAGCCACATGGAGCTGGCCAGACTCTCCGGCAGGCAGATGGCTGGCCTCCTGACTCAGCTGCCTGGGGTACCATCAGCCCCCTCGTCCTCGACATCAAGCCGACGAAGGGTGCTCTCTCCAGGGAGAGAGGGAGGTGCTATACCTGGAAATGAAAGTGTATTATTTAGAGAAGGAACCAGAAGGTAGGAGACAGGTACGAAGGAAGCAGAAGAAGGATGCTAGACGAGAGAAGCGGAAGCACAGGTGCCAGGTCTGCGTTATCAGCGCTGGAAAATCTTAAGCTCTGGGCGGGGTCCGGGGGAGGCTGGGTGACCAGAGACACCGTGCTGGTGCTTCCAGACCCTCTGAGGCCTGTGAGCTCACATTGGCTGCCTTTGGAGCAGCCTTTCCTCTTCCGTGCTGCCCAGTTTGACGTCATCTCAGCTGGATTCAAAGTTAGGGCGGGCAAGGGTCCCGGGCCTGGAGGGTGACCCGTGGACTGCCACTGGACCATCGGACGGGGGGTGCCCACTGCCAGCTTCCACGACAGGCCCCTGTTCTGACCTGGTTTCCAGAATGTCCCGAAGTCCAAAATAGTTATTACGGACCAGTCTGCAGGATTGGTGGCAACACCTGCTTGTTGCCCTGTGAAGTTTCCCGGGGCAGGGAAATGAGGGCTCAGTGCTCGTGCTTCACCCGTCAAACCCAACCAGGTGGCACCGGAAAGTGGAGAAGGTTGGAAGACAGACAGATGGACAGAAAGAGGAACGAGTGGAGGAGAGCATTGTAGCCGGGAAGCTAGATTGTGCTTTACGTTCTGGAGGCTCGTGTTGAAGATGAACTTGGACCCAATTCCTGCATCATTAATATCGGTGAGGAAAAGAGAAAACAAATGGTCTTGTTTTAGCTCAAATGATGAGAGTTGATGGTGGAACATTTTCACACATGTACGATAATTAGAGCCTGGCCACGCTGGGAGTCAGGGAAGAGAGGCGACATCCGTGGAAGAAAAAGCAAAGCATCGTCCGGGGGGAAAGAGAGTCAGGCCTGCGCGACCTGCTGGTCACAGGAAAGGCAGACGGGAAGAAGGAGCCTGTGTGGGTTTGAGGACGCCTGCCCGGTGGCCCAGTGCTGCTGACCTGCCCCCAGAGAAGCCCGTTGAGTCTCCCAGGGGATGTAGAAGTGTGACCTGTGAGGGACGAGAGCGGCTGAAGCCTGTCCAAGGGAGAATCGCCCCCGCTTACCCCCAAATTAGAGACATTATAAGGCCAAGCACATTTGTCCCTCAACGTTTTAGAATTCTGGTTAAGAATTAATCCAGAAATTTCAAAAGTCAAAACCTTGCAGGGATGGTCCTGGGAGCCAGATTCGTGTGCACAGAAGATGAACTGCTGTAAACTGTCACTCAGCTGAGTTGTCATTTCCCCCGAGACAAGGCGCCCATGCTGCAGATTACCTTTTCGCCTTTTCTTTCTCTTTAGTTTTTAAAAAAATATATCAGCATCCACACCCTACTAAAAATTGAGTTTTAGAACCTCCCCTTCACACGATTGACCAAGAGGCTTCTTTTGTATGCTTTTCTTCCATATCCTGTGAATAAAAGCCCCAATTTGTCTAATGTTTCTGTGCGTGAAGTTTTTCACCCCTTCATGCAGTGGGGGACACCTCCCTGGGGCCCACAGCACGAGCCCAATGCTGCTCCCCAGGACCAAGGGGAGTGACGGGGCCCTGACTCACTGGGGACTCTGCTTGGGTGTTAAAGGGGGACTGTTCTCTAGAGAACGGGTGTCAGTGTGCAGGATCCTCAGTTCATGCATTTGTTAATAACGAAGATTTCCAGAACCTCTGATTTGGATCTAGAGAGTCTAGTGTGTGGCCAGGAAGCTGCATTTTCCACAAGCAGCCTAGCAGATTCTGAAGCAGCTGTTGCTCTGCCTGAGCTGGGAAATGCTGGACCCAGGGGCTGCTGCAGGTTGCATTGGCCAGTGGACTCCAAGGTGGGACCTCAGGTCAGCCAGGTGCCAGCCCCAGCCAGGCACGCACAGGATTACCACTCACTGAGCCTTACAGAAGCTTCTGGAATTGCTGTCAGATTATCCACCCAGGCAGGGTCGGGGCCACGTGTGTCAACCAACCTTTAGGCTTAGGACAAAGCAGAAGCTATGTCCCTGATGTCTTCAGCTGCCCTGGAATCATCCCTACTGTCCCCCTGCTCAGCACCTGTGCTTTGTCAGAGAAGCTCCAACTGCTGTCTGTCACCGAGAAGTACCCCAAAGCAGGACTTGAACTCAGACCTCCCCCTCGCATCCACCAATAGTCCTCCTGGGCATGGCAGTGCCCTCAGCAGAAAGTGCTTGTGGGGCTGAGAAGCCATCAATGCAATTTTAGATTCAGACAGCTGCTGTGACAGGTTTTGCACCTGTGTTGTCCCCCCGTCCCTCTGCAGGAGCAGAGACGAACTGAATTTAACTTTGTGATGCCATCATCCCCAAAGTGTTGTGAAAACTTTATAGCTTTTCCTGTAAACTTACTTTATAATACAAAGTATACTCAAAGAAAAACAAAACCAAAAAAGCGAATGCCCTCAGCTGCATTTGAGAAGTTCTGTGATTTTGCCAAATTCCCAGCTGGTTCCTGAGTAAAAATAATCTCAAATTCCCTTGACCATTCATGGAGAAATGGGGAAAAGTTAATATAACATGGGATCGTGGTTATTTTAGAGGCAAAGTTGTTTTTGAGCCAAACCACTCTATCGTAGCCAAAGGGAAAGAAGGTCTCTTCAGATTTTTTAGAGGGTTCACTGCCAGATCCCGGTGGGTACACAAACCAGACAGGAGCGGAGGCAGAGAAGGGAGAGGAACAGAGGAAAAAATCAGGCTTGCTTGCCTGACGCCCCAGGGGTACCTGGTGCCTTGCACTCTGCAGCTCCATCTAGAGACAGAAATTAGGATCAGAACTCAGCACCTTCAAGCACTGGCTTTGCTTTTTTTGAAGGTGTTTCTCAGGTGATTCCTCTTGCACAATCTGTTGACAAGGCTCTAAACAAATGTATCTGGTTCAAAGCAGACAAAAGAATCAGAGCAAAAGTAATGACAGACACAGAGCTGAGAGGTCACACTTCCCCTTGCTTGCCCTGTAATTCCAGAGTAAACCACTTCCACACAGACTAGCTTTCTCATTGAAAATGAAGGGAGATTACTTGTTGTTTTGCTTCCTATGAAAGATGTTTATAATTGCTGCAGAAGTAGAAAGTGGTGATAAAACCTTTCTTTTCCTTTTTTTTTTTTTTTTTTGCGGGGTGACTTACCCACTGGAAAAACCCTTGTTTATCTTCTTTAATCATTGAAAGAATCCTGAGTTAGGTATTATAACGCCTGCAGGCACTGAGCTAGGAAGCAGAGACACTTTATGTTGTAGACGATGATTTGTGTATCTGGAGATCTCTGGAGTTGCGGAGAAAGTGGCATCTAAGTGATTTATGCACTTTTCTTCATCACCTCATTTTTCCGTACAAAATCAGACTTGGATTTGTCTTTCAATGTTTTCACTTCAATAAATCAGTGAGCCACTCCTGGGATCGGCCCCCATTCTACCTGCTCCCCCTGGTCATGGCTCTGCTGCACGTAGGATCAGAGAGAAGCCAAGATGCAGCAAACATCTACTAGATTCAAGGCTGTCAAGAAAAAAATGTTGCCCATCGTTCCAGTTCTACAAGGATCAAGCCATCAGCCCCTACAGTCACCCAACCACAGTGCCCCCGAGGGGAATTCAGGATGCAGTGAGACAAGAAGCATTCTGCGCTTTGGATATACTGGCCCTCGACTAGTTCAGACGCACACCTCAGGAAAAATTTCAGTGACCCAAGATTCTTGCATCTTCTCAGAGACAGGAAAACACTAAAATCATTAACTTGAGATGTCTGTTCTTTGTGATTAGCAGTCATCCTTTTATGCTTGACTACATGTTTTCCCCAGCCAAAAAGAAGTGCCTATATTTTTTGTTTGTTCTTTAACTTGGAATTTTAATTATGTACATAAATAGCAACATGAGAGTGAGGCGTTCTAAGGCTTCTTCGGTATCTCTAGATGAAAGAATTTCAGATGAGTCCACTTGGAGTAGTGATACTTGTAGCGTCACTCACGATAACAGAGGCCTAGCATAGTTTTCTCTGGCTCCCATCTTACCTCTTGTTCGGCTGCAGGCCGACAAGCCTTGTACTTGCCGAGCCTTGAGACCGAAGACAGAGCCTCAAGTCAGTGACAGAGACATCAATGGTTTAATGGCTGGGGGAACGTCTGAAGCAAGGTCCTGGGGTGACACCCCCCTGTGTGCAGTAGAGAGTGGGCAGGACAAGGCGGCAGCCTTCACTCCCAGGGGCAGGGGGAGTTTACCAGTTATAGGGGGAATTATTCCCCGGGGAATTGGCCCCGTGGTTACCAGGGAAACCAGCAGAGCCGCGTGCCCTTTACTTCCCCTTTGATAAGCTGTTAGGAACAATCATTAGCTGGGACCTGGGGCAAGTCTGTAGGAAGGTCAGTCCTGTGAGTAGGCTGTAGGGGAAGCAGGCACTGGTCCAGCGGGAGGTTGGGGGGGATGGACAGAGAGCAAGAGAACAGCCATCTTGGGTGGCCTGACCGTACACCTCTTCAGAGCAGTTCCTCAGAGCTAGCTGAGAGGTTGTTTCCCAGGCTCTAGTCCTCAGTAAATCCCCGAATAAATCATAACTCACAACGTTTGCTTTCTGTAGGCATCGTGCTGGGTGGCTTGATGACATCAATTTAATTCTCGATTTCATCTACTTCTCATTAACAAAGTCAACAAGATAGATATTATTATCTGGGTTTTATAGATGAGGAAACGGAAGCTGAGGGAAGGTAGGGAATTCTGCTCCGATGCGATGGCCAGGAGGCCTGAAACCAGGGCCCACAGCTTCACTTCTTCTGCCCGTTTCAGCTCTCATTCCCTTTCCCCTCAGGCTCCTGTTACCACCAGCGACCAAGAGGAAGAGCCATGCTTTAAATGGAATTACATCCAGTGAGCGTTCCTGGTTCCCATATTATCATCCAAGTAGTTAGAAATCCTCCAAAAAAAGACTCGAGGTGCTCACCTGCCCATCATACCCTGGAGTTTGGACATGCCGAGATTGCTTAGCTGCCGCTTTGCCACGGTCAAGGCGCAGAGCAAGGGGACGTGGGGCTGGGCTGGGGAAGGGATCTGTGACCCCAAGTCAGTTTGGTTGAATTTACTTTATTTTGCCCAACTTGCTTAGCGTGATTTCTGCAGCCTCAGCTACTATTCCCATTGACTGGTAACTGTGTTTCCATGAAGCCAGCACTCTCTTGTTCATCCTGGGGTCCGGGCCCACGTGCCATAGCACCAAGGCCAGCAGGAAGCCACCCTGCAGGATAGGAACAACACTGTCATCCCCAACCTGGCTTCAAATCCTCCAGCCCTGTGACCCCGGGCGAGGTCCCCAACTCCTTTGAAGTCAGGATTTGGTTTAGTTTCCTTTGAAGAGTACAGTAAGTAGTATCTACTTCAGAGGCTTCTTTGGAAGATGACGTATGGGGTGTGTTCAGAACCGAGCGTGTAGGATATTAAAGGTTCGCCTTCTGCAGTGGCCCCAGCTCAGCTCTGCATGTGCCCTGACCTGTGGGAGGGAAGGAAAAGAAGGCCTGGGAGATGGGGGTAGGGTGCGAGGGAGGGAACCTAGCAGAACTGAGGTTGGGGGCAGGGAGGCAGCCTGCTTCCCCATCCACTCTTAGTGTTTTTCTCTCTTGCCCCTAAACATATCCTTTATCTGCTGTGAGTGGCTTCCAGGGTCCTCCTGATCACCTAAGAGCCCCACCTTTCCCTTTGCTGCAAAACAAACCCAGTTGGAGCTGCAGGGGAGCTGGGCTAGAGTTGGGTGGTGTGCAAGAACAGCAGTAGGGACAGGATAGAGGGCCGCAGAGGACAGACAAGAGCAGGAAAGAGTTTGTTTATAGCTTCTAGTCTCTTCCAGCCACTGGAAGGACTCTGAACTTTCACCCTGAACTTGGTCTGGTTTGCCAGTGGCCTTGTTTCCGGATACCCAGACTGGCCTCATCTGTAACATGGAGATGCAGAAGTCCTTTCAGTCCCCGGGGCACAGGGTGTTCAGAAGACAAACAGGCAGCCTGAGCGTCAGTGGGAAAGCACGCGAATGCTCAGGACTGGGTGGTGGGCGGGGGTCTCCGCCCCCCTCATCGTAAACATGCAGGGGGCCTGCTGGCTAGGTGTTATAAACAGTGAAGACCGGGAAGGGAAATACGCACTTTTGTTAAATCATCCAAGGAATCTCTTCATTTATGTTCATTTATTTATTCAAAAAATATTTTTAATTGAAATATATTTGATATATAACACTGTGTAAATTTATTGTGTACATGTTGATGTGTTACATTTATATATTGGAATATGATTGCCATTGTAGCCATGGTTAGCATCTCTATCATGTCACGTAATTATCTGTGTGTGTGTGTGTGTGTGTGTGTGTGTGTGTGTGCACGCATGTGGTGGGAGTACTTAAGGTCTAGTCTTTTAGCAGGTTTGATGACTACGGTACAATATTGTTGTCTATATTCACTA